ATATATATATATATACTACAAAATCCTCTCATATTTTTGTTGCAGCTGTTTTTAAATCACTACAATTGTTAGCCCAGCGGAGGCTTTTAGTAGTTTTTTTTAAAAAGTGTCTTTATATAAGCGCTGCCAAAAATATTTTTTTTTGTTTTTTGTGTGTCACACACACACACACACATATATATATGACCGTTTCGTCGTTCGATATGACATAAACACTTCCATCTTCCAGGCCATTGCGTAACCGTGTTAAGCAGATATAAGCCCTAAATAATAAAATTGTCAGGATGAAACATCAAAATAAATATATTTTAAAAAACATAAAGCCACACAAAATGATAGTTTGGAATATCACTGAGGTTCTCCTCAGTATCTGTGGCATCCCTTACTTTTCTTCCTTCGGATTCCTAAAATAGAATTTTCCTATTCTGATCCATTCCCATTTGGTTTTCCATATTCAACCTTGAACCCTTGCACTTTGAGATTCTTGAAGACAAATACCTCTAACTAAATCGATATTTTTTTTAAATGACTTCGATTATTTGAGATATAATTAACTATAGGGGATTGCCTCTATATGGAGCTTTAAGAAACCAGGTAATCTAAATCTTATCTAATATTTATATTAGATATATAAACTTGTCAGTTAACATAAAAGGTTTAGCTGACCAAACGAATGATATGAATTCATTAGTTTATTTAATCGAGCCCCACTATCTAGTAATGTGTATGTCATTCGGGATAGGTGCATTGCTAGTGGTGCCGTGCTCGTTTATTTAAACTATTAAATGAATGAGATCTTGTTAGTCTAATTTTTTAAAACTAAAATGTTATTTATTAAAATTAAAATACTATTATATATATATATTAAATTCAAAGTTAAAAAAAATTCATTTGCAAATAAAATAAAATTAACCTATATAGAGTTTATGGGAAGCTAACTAGCTAGCTATTATATCACCAATCATTTACTGGAAAATTTTAAACCTAGCATTTTGATTAAATTTTAATCATAATGTGATTGAAAAGTTGTTAGAAAGTTGTTAGAATTACCTTAAAATTTTCATAATATTAGAATTAAGAAAATTTTCTCATATGTACAAACAAATTGACGAGGATATCTGAACTAATTTTTTTTCTCATTTAGTTGACATACATTGACTAATTTTTAAAGTAAGGGCGCAATTTTGAAAAGAAAATGACGCCTTTTTTTAAAAGCAGAATAAAATTTCACTTCCAAGTAAATTCGAGCATTGACTTCTGCTTACTTCAATCACTGAACAAAAACGATAGCGCATAAAACGACAATTTCTTTTAATCCATAAAAAATATATATATATTAATAATAATAAATTCGTGAATATTTCTTAGAACTATACAATTACATTAGAAATTATATAGCCAACTAAGGTCAACATGACGTTCTCTAAGCCTAGATAGCTGGGTACCCATCTCATCCACAGATAACTATCTACAGGAATAGGGATAAACTATGTCCATATACCACTCTCTAGGTTTAGGATTGGACTTATGATTAACAAAGAAAGGGAGAGAAAGGGAGAGTGGGAGCATAAAAGGAGGAACTCAAAATTTAAAAATAGTATTTTTTTATAAATTTATTATTTAAAATAAAAGCTAAAAATATAAAATATTTTAAATTGATAAAATCGTCACGTTAGCCAATGTTTTGCCATATCAGTGATAAAATCACTTCCTACCGTGGTGATTTTTCTTTGCCACATGAGCTTTGAAGTCAAGGTATATTTATTACAAAGTATTAAATGTTATTAATATTATTCTACATAATTAAAATACTAAAGCGTAAGGTTTTGAACTTTGAAGTTAAGGTATAATATTTTCATAGTTATTTTTTAAAAATTATTTAATTTAATAAACAAAAAAAAAATTATATAAAATTTAATAAATTTTTTAATCTTAATTTTAACAAATATTTTTTTAAAAAAAATTAAAAAACTTTGTTTTAAAATAAAATAACTTTAGTTCGATGAGAATTTAATTTAAATTTATAATTATTTTATAAAATATTAAAATATTAATATTTCCATTTTTAATAAAATTTTCAAAGTTATTTAAATTCTTTATACTTAACAAACTTAATATTTTTAATTTTTTAATTTAACTAATAGATAAAATTTTATAACATGTTTTAAATATTATATTCTCTGTTTAAGAAATACTTTTTAATAAAAATTTTAATAGAAACATTATAATATTAAATAAAATAATTTTAATTTTTTTATTTAAATTTAAATGAAATTTTTATCTAATTAAAGTTATGTTTTTTTTTAAATTATAAAATTAAATTTTAATTTTTTTTATAAATTTAAGATAATAATATTTATTAAATTTTATATAATTTCATTTGTTTTTTAGATTTAATAATTTAAATGAATAATTCAATTGGAATTATATCTCCAAAAATAAAAAAAAAGGCATGATGGGGATTGAGCCCACTCAAAGTTGAATACCTTACAAGCCCTACTAGCGAGGGTAAAATACTTAATATTTAAATTTTATGATATACTACTAATAATATAGTTTTCTGTAAGAAAATATTTTCAAGTAATAAAGTCACCATGTCAAGAGATTTTGTTTGTTAATGTGGCGAAGGAAAATCTTCATGTTTATGAGCGTTTTTGCCTCTGTTGTGGCACGATTTTGTCGTTGATGTGCCGAAATGTAGCACTTTTGTCTATTTAAAATATTTTATGTTTTTAATTTTTATTTAAAATAATAGATTTATAAAAAATATTATTTTTAAAATTCTGCCAAGGAGGAATGGTGTAGGGATTAAAATTGGGAATAATGCTGGTTGTGATGAGACTTCTCCCCTCTTCTGCTACATCTCAATTGGACAGTGAGTAAAAAAACAAACATTTTTGTTCTCTGCCTTAATACCCCACAACCCGAAGCTCATTCAATGTGCGAATCTAGCCAGAAAAAAGGGCAGAAAACCAAAAAAAGGCATCGGCCTACCATTAGGCCAACCTTTTGATGCGTTGGGAATCCTATCCTAAAGCACGAGATTCCCCGTCCATTAGCTAAGGGTTGACCTCGTCTTCCTCTGCAGATTTCTCAAAGTGGAGTTCTAATTTTCATTGATCCTCCATTGCCTTTCTTCCTACCTTCTTTTTCTTGTCCCCTCTCCCCACTTTACCATGAAAGATTTAGCTTGACTTGAATTAAGCAAGTCAACCAATGCTGTCCTTTTGTTTACACAAATAAAAGAAAAAAAATTGTTAAAGACATTATTCGTTCCACTTATTTATTTTTTTCATTTATTTTCTTATCGAATTAGTAAGCCTTAGCCCACCAAATAATGGTCATTAATGGCTAAGAGAGAGAGAAAGGGAGAGCATACAATTAAGACCTTTCCGAAGTCTCTGTAATTATAACATATGTAACCCTACATATGAAAACTTCCTTTCCAACGGCTCTTTCTTTTTGTTTAAATTTCACGTGTCAGCATGAATGTGAAGAGCAAAATAATCTCAGTTCTCAGCTCGCTAAAGGACCAGCTTTCTTCAATGAGCAAAGATAACATCACCGCCCGCCACATCCTCTCTGAGATTGATGCCGCAATTCGCAAGAGCTCCGACGGCACTGACCACCTCCCGGACGACCGATATGTGAACCAAATCCTCTTCCTGGTCTCCAACTCTCCCGGCTCAATCACCTTCCTCGCAAGGCGACTCTCGGAAATACTCGAGACCTCTCGAGATTTCCCGAGGTCGATCAAGTTGCTTGTGCTTCTCCACCGTCTTCTTCGCGGTGGAGACCGCTTCTTTGAACAGGATATGAGGCTCTTGTGGTCATCAGGAGACCTCAGGATCAGTCCCCAGCCTTACGGTGCTACTTTCGTTATGAATTACTCTTTGTTCCTTCAAGAAAGAATAGAATGGCTTATAAACCAAGCTGGAAAGCTGGAGCCGGTTAGAACAGGGGACCTTGATAGCAATGATTGTGGGGATAAATCAGTTGAGCTTGTCATATATAACGCATCGAAATGCCAAGTTTTTTTTGATCGTGCCATGGCTTGTCTGCCTGAAAACCTGACTATGCAGCAGAATCAATTGATTATTTTTGTTCTGAACATCATAGTGAGGGAGAGTTTGCGTGTCTACGAAAGCTTTTATGAAGGATTTGAGATAGTTGTTGCTTCATTTTTTTATCTTAAGAGACCTTCGAGGATTTCAGCTCTTGGTATTATGAGAAAGGCAATATGGCAGACACCGAAGCTACAAGAGTTTTATGATTTCTGCAAGAGAGTCATCACGGGGAAGAAAATAGATTTTCCATCAATAAGAATTATAACAGAAGAAGATATTTCGTCAATGGAACAGTTTGCTGATGCGAAAGAGGAGGAGAAGCAGATGAAAATGACCAACGCACAGGAAGAAAATCAGGAAGTGCAGGCTTTTGAGAAAGAGTGGAGTTATCCATTCTCTGGAAAGCTCGAGACAACGATAAGTACAGTATGGGTGGAATTCAGTGAGGGAGAAGATGATCTTCCCACTGAAGGCGAGAGTTCGGAGAACTATAAATCCATGGTATTGTTCTGACCCTCGCGCTAAATCTAATTGATTTGCTTAAAAAATTTTAATTTTTCTTTGCAATATATAGTGAGATTAGATTATATATTCCTATAGCCATCATGTTTTCTTTGCTTGAGCTTGTTATGCCACGGTTTATGTGCGGCGGCCTCTAAATAATATTAGGGGAATTTACATCACCAATTCTGACGCATTTACATATCCCACACCCAAATTCTGATTTTATAATTAAAACCAAAGTGCTTGGCAAGTAGAAATAAAGATTTGGGTGAGAGAAATGTATATGTAAAAAAATTGAGTGCTATGTATGTAAATTTCCAATAATATTAATATTATTTCTATCATTCCGAGAAATGCATTTTTTTCTTAACTTTATGAAAGTGATTTTTTTAATAATTTGATTTCATGTGCCATGGTCAAGCTCTAGTGCGTGAAGAAAATGAAATTGCATAATGTGGCATCCAAATGTACATCCACAATTGTAATAACTTATTCTTACCGATAAGAAGTGGCATACTATAAATAATTTTTTATTCTTTTCTTATATGCAAAAGTTGAATATATTTATAATGGTTTGGGCACGAAAAATTAAAGAAGCTTTTTTTGTGCATTAATATCATTTAGCTATTTTACACGTGTTAAAAAGATTCTCTTGTTCTAGTGTACTGTGCAGCTTCCGGTGAGCAGGAGAACCGACAAACTAAATATGTACATATAAAAATATGTCAGCACGAATCGCAAAACAGATAAATGACACAGGATGATGGTAGAGACAATCAGACATAGCTGTTGACGATTGTCTTGAACTTGATGTTGGCAAGGGAGGCTTCTTCTCCAAACGATCGACGAAATGTTCCAGGAGATGATCCATAGAGCGGGGATCATTCCTCAAGATGATCAATGGGAGACTATCTTTTGAATTAGATATTAATCGAGTTAAGACTTACCAGGTGATCGACACCTCTCATGATCAAATCAGTCCCCGATATTATTATATGCGAATAACTCAGTAATTATCAAAAATCCCCCCTAAAATATTAATAAAGGAGTTAATATATACTTTTGTAACGGTGGGACACATGCCTATAAATAAGGGTCCATGCCATGAGTAAAAGACACTCTCTTTAATGTACACTATAGTGCTCTCTCTCTCTCTCTCATCACTTCCTAGCTAATCTTTGTATTCCTTGGGTGTGTTTCCCAGACACTTTTAGATTCAACATCCTTTAAAGTTCATTGAGCGTGAAAACATATCATCAACCAGAAAAGGAGACCATCAACAATAGCAGGGAGAGTCCAATCAGAAGAACATAGGAGAAGCACCATGCACATTGGTGTTTATGGAAGAATTCATTCAACATGGTTGGAGAATCCCAGATCACCAATTAGATGTCAAGACAGCTCGCAGAAGTACTTATGGCAGTCATTGCTCTAGCAGTGACCCAGATTTCAGGCCAAGAGTCAGCATGAGAAGGAACACTCAAACCCCCTCAAAGAGAACCACCAACCAACAATAGAAGGAGGTGATCCACTCACAGGAAAAGCCCGACGAATTGTATATACCATGATAACGCTGGATCTGCGTCTATGGTGGAGCGAAACTGATTAGTACGGACCAAGGTATAAAGGAGGCAGAAAAACTCCTCCTTATAGGCCTTCAGAATTCAACATTAAGAGAAGTTTAAGATGCCAGCCTTGGAGCTGTATAATGGATGGTCGAATCCTAACGACCACCTCACATCTTTTGAATCGTCCAAATGCTTGTTGAAAATTTGTTATGCCCTCAAATGTGTGCTCTTTTTCAATACATTGAGATCAACAACAATAAGATGGTTTAATGGATTACCTGAACTCAAAGGAAAAACTTTATCTTTACCTTAAGGTCGGCTTCGAAGCCGTTAATTTGGTCTTTATCAGATAATAACTCGGAAAGGAGCACCCAGTGTACTACATTGGTTTTAAAAAGCGCCAAACTTCAGTATCCAATAATAGAGAAACTGACCTTAGCCTTAGTCGTTCTAGTGTGGAGATTTCGATCATATTTTCAGGCACACACTATATAAGATATCATAGGTCACTTATTAAATTCTATTCTCACAAGACTGGAACATTCTGATCAATTACTCAAATAGGCCATGGAACACAGCAAGTTTGACATCTCCTATATTCCTTGGTTGGTGATAAATGCACAAGCTATTGTAGATTTCCTTGCAGATGTGTCTGAATCGAGAGGGGCAAATGATGATTTGACAATCGATAATCTGACCTGGACTCTATTTATAGATGGGGCATTCGACCAATCAAGTGCTAGAGTTGGAGTTTTTTTATGTGGCCTGGTAGGAGAAAATGTCTACCATTCAATTGAGATAATTTTTCATTAACTAACAACCAAGTGGAATATGAAGCTCTGATTGAAGGACCTCGCCTAACCTCAGAAATGGGAGTCCTCCAAATAAAGGTAAAAGGCTATCCACAACTCATAGTAAACCAGTTCAATAGATAATTTGTAATCACGTAGGAGATTCACAGTCTAGTCACTCTAATCGTGCTAGTACTGACAACCTAAGAGTATCGGGGGCAATGATCTCACCAAGAATCGGTGAATAGTATCATGGATCATTTCCTCTCCCTTATTGAAGATCCTTGAGGTAGGAGATACCACTCTAATAATTCCACTTCGTATCCCTTGTTTAAGCACACATAAGCAATGTCGTCATCGCCCTCGCCACTTAGACCCTGACTCATCCTAGTCCGATGATCCATATGTGGCGTTAACAAATTTCCCCCATTGCCAGGAGGATTTGAGTGTAATATCTAAGCTCAAATCCCGATGTACTGGGTTTTACTGTAGGTTAAGTCATTGAGGGAATTTCACTGTTCATTTAATTAAGGAAGCATGGACTACGCCTCAGTGCGTCTTCATGTCTAGTGTCTTAATTAGCTTGTGAATCAGAATTAAGTGTCAAGTTTCGTGCTCCTAAAATCTAGGAAGCCTATGCTGAGAATTAGGTGGATGGACTCTCACCTAGGGCGTGCTCCTAAAATCTAGGGAGCCTACACAGAGAATTAGGTGGATGGGCTCTCACCTAGGGTGTACTCCTAAAATTTAGGAAGCCTACACTTGAACTTGTGCTTAAAGTGATTTAAAGTGTTCTACCCTCAATTAAGTATTTTTTTTTACTAATCCTCAAGTATGTCTAAGTGTCTTCCAAGCAATTAAATCAAAAATTTCCATTTTGTTTTGACTTAACCATGTAACAAAAATAACAAAACAAACAAAAAAAAAGAAGGTCGACCCACTTCTAAAACTAACAAAGCCAATGAACGAAGCAGCAAGTGAATCGACCTAAAAAATTAGGTTCTTTCAAATAGTGTAATTAAATCAACCCCCAAGAAGAGTGTTTAAATCTACTCCAAAACAGTGTTTTGATCGGCCTGAATGTTCCACAATTTAAAGTAAATATATATATTTAATCTGAAATATATATATTTACTCTGAAACAAAGTACAAAGGAAAGGTGAAGGCGAAGATCAATCGGTTCATTAGCTTCAAATTTTAACATGTCTGAAGGGAGGAAATTCACAGTCTAACTTGGAGCCTTCTTCTAAGAGGAGGATTATCTAAGAAACTTAGTCGATGTTCAAGGAGAATAAAAGCTAGATGAGTTTATAGATCTGGTAACTAAGTACGGGGGTGATTGACCAAGTAGTCATCAATCGCAGGAGACTAAAATATAAGGTTGGTTGGTACTTACTAGTCAAAAGAAAACTCTTCAAGAAGTCAACCACATCTTTTCTTCTTAAAGTACATTGGGAAGACCATAATCCAAGAAGAACATGGCGAGGAGTACGGAAGCCATTCTAGGGGAAAGACACTAGCTCACTAAATTTAGTGACAAGTTTACTTCCGACTGAACTTGCACAAGGAAACTAAAGAATATTCTTGATGTTTTACACAATGTTAGAAATAAAGACCGTTACACCATCAATTGCTCCAAAATTTTCACCCGATTGTCAGTCCTTGGGTGTTCCACATGTTAGGCCTCAAAATCTTGGGACCATTCCCCCTGTTAAGAGGATAGTGGATGTTTTAACTGGTGATCATCGATTATTCTCCAAGTGTGTAAAGGCAAAGCCTCTAACAAACATAATGGCCGAGGTAGTAAAAAACTTCATATGAACCTTATTTACAGATATGGTTTACCTCTCATCATCCTTACAGATAACCTAATTCGTTAATAGAGGAGGTCAAGATTTCAGTAAGACTCAAAGGATCAACCACAAATTTGCTGTTGTGCACCACTCTCGAACTAATGAATAGACCAAGGATGTAAAAAAAATCATCCCAAGTTTGCTAAGGAAAAACGTGGACAGAGTGAATGACAAATAAGCAAACATAATTCCATCGATATACTAGGTGATCCAAACAATAGCATTCACGTCCATGAGACAGACCCCCTTTATGTTGTCCCACAAAATGAAAGTCATGTTACTAGTCAGATACAACAATTACAGCCAGAGAGTACTCTCCGCCTTTGCTTTCAACAAGGAGGATCTAGAAGAGTAGCTTGAGATGAATGATGTGAGAGTCTAGCTCGCCCTACATCTAGTGGAGGAAAATCGAGCCAACACAACCTTCTGAGAAGAAGAGGTGAAGCAAAGAATAGCCAAATAATTTAATTAACACATATAAAAAAGAATTTTTCCCCAAGGGACCTAGTGTAAAAGAAGGACGACCCCACCACCACAGGACAAGCTATTCGGAAGCAGATCAAACCTGGAATGATTCCTAAATCATCCACATAAGAGCTAGATCTAGAGTATACAAATTGAAAACTTTCATAGGAAATGATGTCCCTCAAATTTAAAGTGGCGACAATCTAATAAAATGCTTCATTTAAAGTTATCCCTACTTGTACAAGGAACACTGTTATGATTATTTTGTATAACCCTTCTTAATATTCAAAATATCAATATAAGAAAGAGGATTTTTACATTCATAACATCAAAAAGTTTAAGATTTCACATATTAAATGTCTTACGCTTCAGGAACTGATGCAGTTACACTCAAGAAACTAATACAATTAAAATTAAGGAACTATTGTATTTACACTCGGGAATTGATGCAGTTACACTCAAGGATCTGATGCAACTATGCTTGTTGAATTGTCCTAGTTACACTCATGGAATCAATGCATA